GGCCATTGTAAGTAGACGGTTTGGCGAGTCCTCAAAAAGGGAAACAGAATGACCACGTGACCCAGGAATTGTAGGCCTCCACCGGCTAACCAGCAAGAAGGGACAGCAGGAACACGAAGAGCTCCTGTCCCGTAGTGCCCGTGGCAGCACTATCACACTAGCTAGAACGGGGCAACAGCCCCGACGTCCATCAGCAGAGGGACCAACACAACGTGCCAAGTCCATACAATTAAATATTAGTCTGCCACCAAAAAGAAATGAAGTTCTGATAGACACGTTATCACACGGAGGAATCATACTAAATATGTCAGATACTAATGATCACACTTATATGACACGTCTGGGACAGGAAAATGCACAGAGATGGAAGTGGGTCACAGGGGCTGAGAGAGGGGAGGAAGGGACGCGCTGTTGTTTTGGGAGTCTTGAGTTGCTATCTGGACCGATGGAAATCCTTTGGGGATAGGCAGAAGGACATAGGACAGGGAGTAATGCAATGGCTGCTGTCGCTAGGTGCTGCTGAGTCAGCATGACCACAGAAGGGCGCGCTGGTCAGTCCTGTTGAGGCCCTTCCTCTTCTTTGCTATAAAGTCCTTGTCCAGGGATTAATCCCTCCTGAGAACACGACCAAACGACTTGTCATCCTTGCCTGCAAGGACCATTCTGGCTCTATCTCTTCCAAGCAGGTTTGTTTGTTCTATGGTAGTCCGCACTAGGCACAGTCATGATTCTTTGCCAACACCCTAATTCAAATATGTCCATTGTTCTTTGGCCTTCCTTGTGCACCGTCCAGCTTTTGCATACTTGTGAGGCTGTTAAAAATACCACTGCTATAACCATTAAAGCCAACTGATGTCTGAATTGTCCACGTAAAAATGGTAACATGGTTCATTTCTTATTGATCTACACCTTGCCACAATGTTGTTGCTTTTAAAAAAAGAATTAAAAATATTTGTAAAAAGCCAAGGTCACATAGATGTTATAATTGTACCTAGGTTAAGCGGTGTGGGATATAGCCCCAAATGACCACAGTGCAGAAGGTGGAAGCTTGCTTGACTCTCATGTAAAGTCTCAGAT